TCTGAAGATTGTAATATGCTATCTCTTGTTAGCACAGACATTGTTTCAAATCTTAGACTAAAGTTTCCTCATAATTTCACTACCTCTATTAGTTTCTTAAAAAAAAAAAACCATGTAGGGCAAATTCCTGTTTTGCAGCAGAACAAAGAAATTACTTCAAAATGCTATTACATTTTCGAACCACCCTCTTAGGGCCAAATTTCCTAAGAACTCTGAAATAGAAATTGTAGTGAAGTAAAAGCAGGAAACTAGAGGCAGGACCTCTGAGTGACCCATTGTAGGAGCAGGGCAGAAATGAATGAGTTGTAAATTACCAAGTTCTGATCAGAACAGGGCAGAGGAGCAAGACCCCTCAGGTTGTTGGAATAGGACTTGACCGGGATCAAATCACTGTCCCACTACGTATGTGTCAGGAATGATTTAGCAACATTTCTGTATGTTAGATGAGAAGTGTTTCTCTAGAATCTACGGATCCCATATCTAGCCCATAAGCTCTTTGGGAACGTTATGTGTGACCCATTTGTGGTGATAGCCAAGTCGAGTCCTCATGCATTCAATAAAGTTGGCTCTCCCTCAAATCTCAGAATTTTGCCTGGAACTTATCTTGCCTGGGTGTTTCCTGGCTTTGGGATGCAGGTTGGGGCTTGGGCCTCATCCAGCAGTGCTGAAGGGGCCACCTGGTGCCAGGGATTGAACCCAAGCTACCTGCACACAGTACAAATTCTCCAGCACCTTGTGCTCTCTCCCTAGATGGTCTTCCAGCTTCTTACATGTTTTATTGATGCTGGCGCCAGAGAGATAGTATGGTAGAGTACAATAGGCCAGCTTGCACACAGCCAACCCAGGACTGATCTTGGGCATCTCACGTCCCCTTAAGCATGCCAGGAATGATCCCTGAGCACAGAGGCAAGAATAAGCCCTGAGCATGGCCAGATCTTCCCTTCCTCCGTGCCCCTGCCCAAAAAAAGTTTGCATGATGCCCCTTTACTTTTACAAAATCCCTACATTAATACTTATTTTCACCAATGGAAGGATATTGAGGTTGAGGTAAAGAGCTAGTATAGGGAATATAGTGCTTGCTTTGCATGTGACCCATTTTGAACACACACACACACACACACACACACACACACACAGAGTTTGTGGAAGCTGTATTTTTTGCAGCTAAGTGGGGGTATGTCAAGCTTTCTTGGGTCAGTGGGCTCCTGAGCATAGAGGGACTCCATCACAGCCCCAGGCCTCCTGGAACCGGTTCATACAAGTGTGTTTATCCCAGCAGGAGTGAGTGTGATGGTAGAATTTTGAGCTACTTAGTATGACTTTTATTTATTTATTTATTTATTTATTTTGCTTTTGGGGTCACACCCGGTGATGCACAGGGCTTACTCCTGGCTCTGCACTCAGGAATTACTCCTGGCGGTGCTAAGGGGACCATATGGGATGTTGGGAATCGAACCCAGGTTGGCCGTGTGCAAGGCAAATGCCCTATCTGCTGTGCTGTCGCTCCAGCCCCTACTTGGTATAATTTTGAAGGTGATTTCTGGGCCTGGGAAATGCTAAAAATATTTTCCATGTAAATCAGAAATTCCCAGATCTATTTGTCTATCACCCTCTTCCCAGGAAAGAAATGAATCACTCAGAGCCCTCCTGGACATCTAGCTCCTAAATGAGCAAGTAAACAAAAGCACCCAAGGCAATCCCCTGCCACCTCCAGTGTACCAGGATCTCCTCACTAAGAGTTATAACTGCTTTCTTTGCTTTATGCCATTTTGGCTGACAGGCGTTTTCATAGGAACTTCTACTTCTTGAGAGTGGGGAGAACTGAAAGCAATGTAAGGAGAACAGAAGAAAAGGTTTAGACTTACAGAGTGTACTGACTCACTGCTTTGTATCTGAAAAGCTGAGACTGTGGGGGCGAGTGGTCGGAAGACTTAATGGAGCCCGACAAGAAGGAAGAGTTAGGAAATTCTAAAGCAGGTTTGGTTGAGAGCATTTCACAGAGGACGAAATAGTCCAGGTGATTTCAGTCACACAGTTATCACGGGTGAAAGTGACCCAGGATGCGGTTCATTGTTTTCTTAAACATCCGCTCCATGGGCTGAAGTGTTGGGTCATGCTGAAGGGAAACCTTGCTTTAGTAATAAGCTATTACTTCAGTGCACAGAGAGGATCATTTGCAACTTGGTTGCCTTATCCAGAGATTCTAGATGCTCTGCAGAAAAACAGCAACAACCTCCAATCGCCAATAATAATAGCCACTCAACCACAGAGTCCCTACCCCATTGTAGAGTGGCCACTGGTCCCAACCCCTGTTATAATAGCTACAGCCATAATAACTGTGTTACAGAGGAGGACACTGAGGCAGAAAGGCGAAGTAACTGACCAGACTGCACTGTTAACAAGTTTTGGAGCAGGAGTCAAACATGAGCTCTTGACTTCTTCTTGGTTTTCGGCCTAGAATTCCTTACCACTCTCTGATACGGCAGTTCCAAGAATGAACAGATTGAGCAAATCTCTGGTGTGGTTTGGAAATGAGAATGGCCTTGGAGTCAAAGCATCAGTTGAGATTGGCCTCAACCTCAGGTCTGTTAATTTGCCTTAAGGAGAACAAATGACTTCGGACCCGTAAACCCGGTTCCCGCAGACAGAGGCCAGTCTGTCTGGAGAGGGGGATCTGCTCATCCCTGGTAGGAGCTGGGGAGCCATGGACATGTGGAAGGGCAGTGTCCAGAGTAGGAGGCAGCTGTGCCAGGCATGCACTGCCCAATGCTGGCCCCTGTGGGCCTGTTGCTATGCCCTGTCCTACTGGGAAACAGAAGAAGATCCCCAGCCAGAGAATCCCTAATATCCCCGACTTCACATATTTTGATTCCAGTGAAAACAAGCCTAGAGTGTGCTAGCTAAATGACCAGTCGGCTGAAAATTAACCATTGGCCATTGAATGAAAAACCATAAGTTTTTAACCAAAGTGAATTGGCTTCCTTGTATTTAATCAGCTTGGAATTCCCCAGGGCAGGCGAGAGGTTGGATAATGAATTTGGGGAATCCTGGACCAGTTACCAAAGACATGTACCACCCTAATGAGTCTCCTGGAATAAAAATGGAACTGTGTATGTGTGTGTGTGTGTGTGTGTGTGCGCGCGCGCGCGCGCACCAAATTGAGAGTACTGAATGGGCTTGAGAGTAAACAAAAAGGGAGCAAAGATCTTCACTGCATACTTGTCATTGGCAGTTTGGTGCAAAGGTAAGATGAAAGCAAAAAGTCATGCTGGAGAACAGGTTCTGGCGCGTGGGACAAAGGAAAAGAGGTCCCATCTGCCTGAAACAGACAGCGTGGGCCTCACCAGCTGCCCTTCAAAGCCACGCTCCATCTTTCTGGAAGGCTGGGCACAGTGCCATGAGGAAGACACGCAGAGATGCCCTCTCTTGGCGGAGCTGATTTCCCCATGTTTGGCTTCGACTGTTTGGGGAATCTCCGTGAAGCAGCGGCTTCCTGCCAAGTGGCATTTTCTTGAGTATACAGTGCCCCATCTTCTGGACCGTCACAACTGAGCTCACCCCTCCACTGACAGAAACCTTTCAAAGTATCCTAAGTTTGCAGATGGAGAACAGAAGAGGAAGCGTATCTGAGCAGAAATGCCACTCATTTCCAAGCCTGGGGTGCTCTCCAGCCTCTCCAGATGGGCGTGAAGAGCACTTTCCCTAGGCAGGAAGGTGGCACCAAGGAGACCATTTAAGCAAGACCCAGAACATGCAGTTTAGTGGAGTCAGGAGCCTGGGGCGGGGAATGGCGTGGGCGGACGGCAGCTTAACTCATCGATCTCTGCCCTGCCACTGTTCCTTAAGCCACAGTGAAGCAAGAGCCACCAGTGGCACCCGCCGGCATGAAGGAGTTAAAAGGCCAGATTTGAGAGTGATAAGTGGGCAGGTTTCGAAAGCAAAGCCTTGAAATCCGGCCTCTGTAGCCACAACTTGTGGGCAGAAGGAGTCACCAGAACCTGCGGCCACATTTGACATTGGGGGTTTGGGCGGGGGCAAACGGGGGTGGGGGGTTGCTCTCTCCTGGACGCAGCCCTCATGCCTAAAGTCAGCTCAGAAAAGGGATTGTGAAATAAAGCAAGTTTAATCCCCTCTTTGATCTTAGTCACCCGGAATGCAAGTGACACGGTCCAGGGTGTTCTCACTGGGTTTTGGAGGCAAAGGTGTGGGGAACGAGGTCAGGTGGGATTCTGGGACTGCGTGTCTCTGGGTCAGAGCTGGAACAGGGGGTGCTTAAGCAAACAACCCTGGGCGTTTCAGCTCCGCCTTCACTTAGGCTCACAGAAACTCTCCACCTCATGGGTGCTGATCCAGAGAATGGGAACAGTAATAATAATAATAATAATAATAATAATAATAATAATAGTCCTACGTAGGGTCTAATATTAATAATAACCCTATGTAGGATCCCGAGCATAACATGCAAACACAAACCCCTTCAGCGCACGCCTGCAAACATCCCAAGCCGACCCCACGCCACCGCGCTTTTTGTCACTTCCAACTCCCGTTCCTGAGCGCGCAGGAGAACGCGCGCAGCCGGAGTGAGGGGCAGGAGTATATTTAGACGTCCTCTGGCCCGACCCGCCAGCCAGCAAGCACGCGGGCCTCTCCCTCCGACTCGTGTGCCAAGCCCCGCCGGCCGGCCGCCTTTTCCAAAGTGTTCACTTTTGGGGGTGGGGTGGGGGGCAGGGAGGGGTGGATGCACGGTCCGAAACGCGAACTTTCCACCCGACTTCCTAGGACGGCCCCCCAGAACGGCGAGAAACGGAACCCGGTGCTCCAAGAGAAAGTCCAAGAGCGAGCGGGGTGGGAAACGCGCCGCACCACCCGCCGCTTCCAGGCGCAACCCCGAGAACGCGCCCCGGGTTGGGGGGAGCCGAGGTCCCCCGGCGGCGTCCTGGAACGCGCGCGCGCGCGCGCGCGCAGAGACTTGGGGGGGCTCCCGGGCGCGCCCCGCTCACCTGCCAGGCTCGGCGGCACGACGGTGGCCAGCAGCAGCGACAACAGCGGCAGCAGCAGCAGCAGCAGCAGCAGCGCGGGGGACCCGTCCCCGCAGCCACGGGCCATAGCTGGGTGGCCGCGACCCCGCGCACCTCGGGGCAGCAGGGGGGCTCGGAGCGTCCTTAACTTTCCCCGGGCATGAGCCCGGCCGGTCTGACGGGGCGCTCAGCGCCGAGGACGCCTCACGTGGTTCTGGGGAGCAACCTTCGCCCCGCCGGGCGCCAGGCTGGGGAAGGCGGGTCCTCCCTGACCCTCGAGCGCGCAGTGGGCAGGGCCGGGCCGGCCGCCGGCTGCGCTGCGGGGCTCGCCCGGGGCCGCGGGCCACTTTCCCTGTCCCGCGCGGGAGCTGCTGGTGGCCCCCGCGCAAGCCCTGGCTGGAGCCGATCCGGTCGCGCCGACCCCCGGCTCGCCTCTGCCTCCAGGGTCAGCCCCTCCTGCCTGGGCCGCAGAAGCGCATTGTCCCCACGGTGCGGGGACAGGACGCTCCCCCGCGGACGGACTCGTTCGTGCCCCTGGCTCGGGCGTCCCAGGCTGATTAACCCAAATCCATCGGCTGCAAGCCCAAGAACGTCGGGGGGCGTTTCCTGGTCTCTTGACTGGCTGGAGAGACCCCCCCCACCCCGCCGCCCGGGGACACAAGGGTTGCTTCAGACGGGGCTGAAATTGGATGTCCCCGGGGGTCCTCCCATTTCTGCTCGGGGTCCCCGTTGCAAGTGACATTGTGAAGTAGGCGAAACTGTGTGGAGTGACATTGTGAAGTTGACAGAGGGTGCCCTAGGTGACATTGTGAAGTAGGCGAAAGGCTTATTTATGAAGCCCATTTGTGTGTGTGTGTGTGTGTGTGTGTGTGTGTGTGTGTATGTGTGTGTGTGTGATAGCCGGCACAGGTGAGAGGGGAAGAAATTATTGAACAGGTGCTGGGGAGGACGGGAGGGTCCTTTCCCAGAGAGGGAAACGCGTCGTTTAAAGAACATCGACTGTCAATGCACGCTGGGAAATCAAGCCCGTGTCCCAGAGTTTGGTTAGGCGCCTTCAACTCTCAGAGCTCCTGGATGATAACATGAAGGAAGAAATTGTAGTAGTGGCACCTTTTCCTTCAGGATAGAAAATAAAAACAGGAAACTTAAAAACATTTTGTTGTCACATGTTGGCAAGGGGACCCATTAGGACCTTGCGGGAAGTTGTGACGTTCCACACAATCCAAGTGTCTGCCTGATCCCACCTCCCTCGCCTTCCGAGAACCCCTCTCAGCAGAGGAGCCAAGTTCTGATGTGATCATGCATGTAAAAATGCCTGATGCAAAGCCCAAGGCATTCATTCCCTGTTTAGTCATCCAGTGTCTGTTGAGGACCATGCTTCAGGCATAGACAGTAAACAGGTTGGACAAACTTTGCCCTCACAGAGCTTGTACTGTATGGGGGGAAGCGGGAAGGCCTGGAGCAGGTGTGCAAATTGTGCCTGTAAATGAATTCATTGGATCTGGGGTTCTCACCCTCAGCTCTGGTACTATGTAATTCCTTGATGAAGGATTCTGCATCCCCCAACCTTTATCCACTGGATACCCACATTGCTATCCCTCCTCCCCAACACCCATATCATAAGTGTCTGCGGACATTGTCAAATGTTTCTGCAGGAGGAAATAAGAATTACTAAATTAGGTGAGGATGAATCTTTTTTTTTTTTTTTTTTTTTTTTTGCTTTTTGGGTCACACCTGGCAATGCTCAGGAATTACTCCTGGCGGTGCTTGGGGGACCATATGGGATGCTGGGAATCAAACCCGGGTTGGTTGTGTGCAAGGCAAAAGCCCTACCCGCTGTGCTATCACTCCAGCCTCGAATCTTGCCTTTTTACATTGGGCCGGGTTTCCATATCTGGGAGGGAAGTGAACAGCAAGGCTGAGCTTCTTAAGAAGAACCAAAGCTGCTGACTGTAATTTTTTTTAATCACTTCTGTAGTAGACACATTTTAAAAATCGCTCCTGTAGTAGATTTGAGCTACTACAAAAAATAAAGTATTGCCCAACGTCTTTTTTTCCTGTATGAATTTTTTCTCTCCATCTGGACTCCACTGGTTTAGAAGTTTCTAAAAATAAGGGTGTTTTCACTGAAAAACGCCAAAACAGTTTCATTGAATTGGACTTTGACATAGCTTCCTGATCTTTGTGGGCTCCTTTGAGAAAAATGTGCAAAAGTAGGATGCTATTGTTGTTAGAGTGTCTATCACGTGGATCTAAGGACTATACAGCAGGAAGAAGCAATAGAAAGAGCTCAGGAGATTCCTTTGTATACTACACCTTTCTGAAAATGGTGAAAAGTATTGTCACTGGCCCAAGGTACCAACACCAGGGATTTAGGCTTCTCACCCCAATGAGCAAAGCAACAAGGGATCAGAGGTGGTGACCCAGTGGGAATGTGGGAAGAAGACAGAGAATATGAATCTCTACAACTGGGTGACCAGTCATAAAAATAGACATAATGGCATTTGTTTAGATTTTTGCTTGCAGAAAGTATATGGTTGATTCAAAACAGCGCAGAGTCAGAATGACTGTAACTTGAATTTATAGTATACTGAATCTAGTATTCAAAAAAGTACCCACGGGTGGCAGAAATTTAAAATGTGCAACTAGTACTCAATCTTGGACTGAATCTTTGGTTAGTGTATTCTTTGAATCCTTCCCCTTTTTGACTTGAGGTAGATCCTGGGTTCTGGTGGCGACTGTATTGAGCTTGGCTAAGAGTTATCTAGTCTGGGAGTTACCCTCTTGATTGGTGTCCTCTGATGAGTTGTGGTTTGTTTCTTCTGGTCCTCCTTGTGGTGTGTAGGAATCCACTGTCAACATCTGTGACTCTTGGCCTCAGGTATAGATTCCTATATACTCTGTATTCGTTATGGTAATGCAGGCTACTATGACAAATAAACTCCGCAAGTTCAACGGGTTAATGCAACAGGCGTTTATTTCTGGCACATGTGGGAGTCTTTAATTGGTAGGTGGCTTGTCTTCCTGTGGAAATTAAGGGACCCAATCTTTTATCTTGTGGTGTCACCATTCTCCAACTTTCTTGTCTTAGAGTCTCACCAATATATTCTTGGACTGCAGGCTAGTTTCTTATATTAAGTAATTTGAGCCAAAAAAAATTAATAGTAGTGATTTGTTTAGAGTCTATGGATAAGACTGTTTTCAAAAATAAAAAATATCTCAGAGATACTTTTGGGGGGGGTCAAGGAAGGGGGGTCCATACTTGGCTCTGTGCAGGGTTTATCCCTGTCTCTGTGCTCAAGGATCATTCATGCCAACACTGAGGGGACTCTATGTGGTATCAGGAATCGAACTGGGGGTGGATGCAAGAAAGGCAAATGCCTTCCTGTACGATCTCTCTGGCCTCAATATTGCAATTTTATATGAATATTTAATAGTTTCTTTGCTTCTCTCTGAATTCAGTATAGGCATCAAACCACACAGGGATCATAATCTTGGAGTCTTGTTTTTCTGTTCAGAGGGAAGGAGGAAATGTGAAGAAGGGATTCCTGCTTGTCCATCACTTTTTCTCACTTTCCATTGCCATGGCCAAACATAGTGCCACGTCTGGGTGCTAAAGAGTCAGAGTCTTATAGCCAGCTAGGATGGCCCCTGAGTCTGGAAACCAGAACACATGCTTCTGGTTGGTGGCCAACTGTTTCGGATGCTCTTGGAACCTCTCCATCTCATGAAGATTCTCTGGCTCCTGTGGATTCTTCCTCCTGTCTCTAAAGAGCTGCAGTAGAAACTCAGAGAGATGCTCTGATCCAGTGTGAGTCAGGTGGGGAAGCTCTTTATCTCCCCAAACGCCTCCCTCTGGAAGAGGAGCCCTTGGAGGTTGTAGATTCTTGGACTCCATGCAGTGAAGCTGAACCAGAATCTCTTCTACTCTGGAAACTCTACACCTGTCTCCAGTTTCTTTCTCATGGGCCAGGCATTGGATCAGGGTTGACTGCATGCAAAGCAAGCTCTCTGGCCCCTGTTTTGTGTTACTAAGCCACACATTCCACACGGTGCTTCACTCATCAAGTAGGGATTAAATTCTAGAGGAAGGATAGTTCTGTCCCTTCACATCAACCCCCTGGGTGTTTCTCTTATCAGCTCCTAAATCTTCTTAGTCCTTTGGCTGAAACGGATTTCAACATTATTATATTTTTGAATTTACAATAGGTCTTTTCTATTTGTTTGGGGGTCACACCCAGTGGTGCTCAGGGCCTACTCCTGGTATTGCACTCAGAGATGACTCCTGGCAAGTTTGGGGACCACATGGGATACCAAGGATTGAACCCAGGTCAGAGGCAAGCAGGGTGAGCACACTACTTGCTGTACTATTGCTCCTACCCTATTCTTGAATGCCATTTTACCCTAATTGGTATCTTTAATTTTCAACTCAATGTTTAAATACTTCAAGATACTTTCCTCTCTCAGATGCATGTATTTTAAAGTTCAAAGGCTTTTGAAGTCTACTGTCTCTGTCTACTCAAGACAACCCCCTGCCCCAAAGTCATGAATTTTATAGAACCAGGGTTGTGGTCTAGAGGTAGAGCACATGTCTCAGCATGCACGAGGCTCTGGGTTGGATCCTCCATGCCACAAAAAAGGAGGGGTGGACATGAATTTTATTCTGGGTTCTTTTAATAATTTTTTCTCCTCTAGGATTAAAGCAATATACTTTAACCTCGAGGGCAAGTCTAATGGTGGAAGATTTACTAGGTTGAACAAGAACTTCTTAAAAGAAAAGTAGAAAACTAGACCTCAACTCTAGCATTTGAAAAAAACTTTTTAAACTATTATCCAACTAAGCTTATGCATATTTATTTCTGTAATGAATTTTCTTTTTCTTTCTACTATTTCCTTTATTATTCACTATAGGTTTTTTGGTAGTTAGACTTAGCATTTGCCCATTGTTATCCAAATATCGAGTCCATATTGCTATGGAACCAAATGAAGGGTGGACAATTCTCAGAAATTTTAAAGACTTATGACACAATTAAAATTACCTGCCTGTCTCTTGTCTACTCATTTGTACATCCTGGGTATATACAGTGCCATCCTTTCAGGTAGGTGTCTTGTAAATTAGGTGCCCAAAGGCGGGACTACCATTAGTGAGTGATGTGTAAGACAGATCAATATGAAGTGAATAGGCTAGCTGAAGCAAGGGAGGTAGAGATTAAGAGG